ACAACAGTTTGTTTAGTGACTGTTCGAACTGAAAAAAGTGACTTATGACTATTTTTCATACTTATGACCTTTGCACATCCTCATGGTCACGTGATCAAAATTCAGATGCTTGGCAATTGACTCATATTTATGACGGTTGTAGTGTCCCAGGGTCCTGTGATCTCCTTTTGTGACCTTCTGACAAGCAAACTCAATAGGGAAGCTGGATTCATTTAACAACCATGTTACTAACAAGGCCCGTTGTCTGCTTAATCACCGTGACAAGAAAGGTCATAAAATGGGATAAAACTCATTTAACAATTATCTTCCTGGGCTCCAAGATCACCTCAGATGAGGACGGCAGCCAAGAAATTAAAAGACGCTTGCTCCTGGGGAGGAAACCTATGGCAAATCTAGGCAGCATACTAAAAAAGCAGAGACATCACCCTGCCAACAAAAGTGCATATAATCAAGGCCATGGTTCCCCCAGTTGCAATGTATGGCTGTGAAAGTTGGACCATAAGAAAGGCTGAGCACTAAAGAATGGAGGCCTTTGAACTATGGTGCTGGAGAAGACTCCTGCGAGTCCCCTGGACTGCAAGGCGATCAAACCGGTCAGTCCTAGAGGAGATCAACCCTAACTGCTCTTTAGAAGGCCAGATCCTGAAATTGAAACTCGAGTACTTTGGCCACCTGATGAGAAGGAAGGACTCACTGGAGAAGAGCCTGATGCTGGGAAAGATAGAGATCAAGAGAAGAAGGGGACGACAGAGAAGGAGGTGGCTGAATGGAGTCACTGAAGCAGTAGGCATGAGCTTAAATGGACTCCAGAAGATAGTAGAGGACAGGAAGGCCTGGAGGAACGCTGTCTATGGGGTCGTGATGGGACGGACATGACTTCGCAACTAACAACAACAACAATCATCTCACTTAGCAACAGAAATTCCTGGCTCAGTTTTGGTCGTTAAGTCAAGGACTGCCTGGAATGTCCCCATAGGGAGAATATGACCTGCTCTGGTACAAATCACCCCAGCAAAATATACAAGTTAAGCCCTATTCAGGTTGCAGAAGTTTCCAACAGCGATCTTTAGTTTAAGGGGACTTTCTCTGATTGGTGCATCAAGCAAAAAAAAAAAAAAAAGCTCAATGTTCTTGCAAAACAGGAAGCTGATCCCTGGTTTGTATAAATGGTTTGATCCTCTGCTTGCTGCCCACCTTGCTTACTCAGTTCACTCTGCAGAAAAGCTCTCAGCTAAAGGAAGTAGAGTAACTGCAGCAACAGACCGCAGGCTCAGAGTCGCGATGATGCAGTGCGCTTCTCTTTTTAATTTGATAAAAAGCATCCCTAACCATTCCCTGTTCAACATGGAAAGGAGGTTTCCAATTAATTGATTAGCTGTCGCTTCATTTTCCGACTTAAACCAGAGCTAGAAGAAGGTGGTAGTCTATCCCAGTGTGATGGAAAGAGCACCTGAAAGAGTAAAGGGGCAGGATTTGGCCAAGACAGCTTTCCCAGAAAGAGACCTGAATGAACAGATTTTGCAGTTCTGAGCTGGATGGGGAAGGATCTGGGTAGCCATACTCTAGAGCAGGGGTAGACAACCTTGGCTCTTTTATGAGTCATGGACTTCAGCTCCCAGAATTCCTGAGCCAGCTTTGCTGGCTCAGGAATTCTGGGAGTTGAAGTCCACGAGTCATAAAAGAGCCAAGGTTGACTACCCCTGCTCTAGACCCTCTCAGGATATATTTTATCTAGTAGCTCTGAAAATTATAGCTTTAGTTTGGCAAGATTCTGTCTGCTAGATGCAAGCAAATAAAATAATTCAACTGGAATTTATTGCCTCATCCCTGGGATTGGACCCGACACCAGCCAGCAATTAGAAATTGACATTAGAAATTTACATCCAAAGTAAGATTTTTCCACCTGTTTTCTGAAAGGTTCAAATACTCAATGCCTCTTACTTCTTTCTCTGTTTAACTGTATGAAAATGTGAGCACTGAGAATAAGACTTCCTGTTGTTCAACGTGCTGTTCAAAATGCCTGCCTTCTCCAAGGGCAAGTTCAGGTATTCTCCTAAACCAGGCTTTGTTTAATCTTGGTTTATGGAAGGCACCATCCAGTTAACCAAGATAAAACCAGTCAAAGCACCTGATGGTTTTGCATGATTTGGAAGTCAAATCATGTTTCTTAGCAGATGTGGGAAATGATGTAAAAATCTCCAATAGGTTGAGTTTGACTGCGGCTGATCTCGTGAACAAATCCACATAATTTACTTGGCAGAAATATGGAAGTTACACACACACACATACACACACACACACACACACACAGAGAGAGAGAGAGAGAGAGAGAGAGAGAGAGAGAGAGAGAGAGAGAGAGAGAGAGAGGGATCTATCTTTGGCATCTAGTCTACAAGCTCAATATTTCATATCTGCTATCACAGTGCTGTCAATGAGGTACAACATCAAATGTTTTATATGAAAAGAACGAACAGTCTATAAAAAGCTTTTGATCCAGTTAAATCAGCAAGGCATAGCTTGGGACAGTAATCAACAAGTTTTGCAATTATCAAACAATTAAAATAGATCTTTGCTTCAGTCCAAATAAGAGGGAGCTTTTTCAAAACATCTCAGACACACACAATTCACATGAATATAAAAGAGGGTGGAGGAGAAGCACAGACAGATTCTGTTACTATAACCAATCATTACAGTCATTTTTAGCCTTCCATGGGGTGTCTTTCTTGGTCTGGCCTGCCTCTTAGGGTTGATAGATGGAAAATGCTCCAGAGGTTATGCTCCACAGATTCTTTCATTATATTCCTAGTTAAAAACTGGAGCCTGGGAGCATTTATCTGGAAATAAAGATGACGCTGAAAGCAGGCAGTTTGCTTTGCTGCCTGTGGGGAGAATGTTGCCTGCTCTCTAGCTTAAAGCCTTCATAAACAATTCCTTGTGTGTCCAATTATACTTGGCCAATAAAGAATTCTATTCTATTCTATTCTATTCTATTCTATTCTATTCTATTCTATTCTATTCTATTCTATTCTATTCTGTTCTGTTCTGTTCTCACTCCCAATCCATTCCCATTCCCTTCCATTCCATTCCCACTCCCATTCTATTTCCATTCCCTTCCATTCCCACTCCTATTCTATTCCCATTGCCTTGCCTTGCCTTCCATTCTATTCCTACTCCCATTCTATTCCCATTCCCATCGGTCTTTGGGCTGACCACGATCTTCACCCCAAGATCGGTGCAAAGACTTCTTTTCAATTCCCCAAGAACAAAGCAATTTCTGAGGTTAAGATGGGCCAGTGACATTAGAAAACTGAGAATATTCTGGAACATTAGAGCAATGAAAAGGAAAAAAAAGCAGCTCCGTTCTTTTTAGACAACTGTAATCAATCACTTCTACCTCCGGTCTCAAACGATCCATACGACTAAAGTTTAAAAGGCTGCAGAAATGTAGCTCGCAGAAGACATTGGGAAAATGTCTGCCTAATGAATCACATTGCAGTTGTCAACCCGAGAGGATTATTAACAGAAAATTAGTTCTGTTAAATGCCAGCAGCCTTGAACAAACAGAATGGTTATCTTTACGGGGCCATTTCAATTACAAGCACAAAGAACAATTGCATTTTTGAAATTTTTCATTCCCTACTCAGGCAGCTTCCATATCCTGCCAGAGATATCTTACCAAACATTCCGAGTCTAAAGATGTCTGTTGCAAACTTTAAAATTCTCCTGGTCTAAATCATCTCCTTTTCTGTGTGAGTCACAAAATATCCATTCTGCTGCCCGGCAATAGGCATTCTTTCCCTGAGACCAAATTAAGAGAGGCCTTCTTAAGCAGCAGAAAGGAAATAGCTGATTGTAGTATGTTCAGAGACAGTGGAATCTGGAGGCTGCCCCCCCCCCCCGAATCCTGCCAGGATCAACTTCTAGAGCGGATCTCCAGTAATGTAGGATCACCAAGCCAAATACCATCCTGCAGCTAAGTTTCACACTTCTGTGGTAACTTAATAAATCTGAGTTTGTATTCACTATGGAAAGCCTCAGATTAAGTAAGCTGGCAACTGAAGATGGCTACAGCCAAATTCGTTTGAAGGTTGAATTTGGCTTAAGCATCTCCGGACCAATGAAAAATCATGCATAGGGAAGGATACTTTGCATTTGCATTGCAGTTTATTGATATATTTTCATTTGCAAACACCCAGTGATCTGGGAACTCCTCATACCAGTGATGTAATCCAGATAGTGTCACGATTTATTTTTTTATTTTTCATAACACAATGGATGGGCTTCTAAGATCTCACAAGCAGGATGCAAGGACAACAGTGTTCTCCTATTGTTGTTTTCCAACTAAGATAGACCTGTAAATGTCCACCGCACAGAAAGATGGTGGATGAAGGCAGAGCTTCAAAGACAGTATTTATGAGCTAAAGACTGGAAATATCAATCAACAGCTCCTTTAGGAGAAAAAAAAGGGGGCAGGAGGAATAATGCGAGAATTTAAAATCAGTTGCCTCAGGAGCAAATTCCAAAAAGTTGATTCATTTATACAGGAACTAGTTTGATTTCTAGTGAACCATGTGAACTGGGGAGAGGAGAAAGGAAAAAAGTTGTCCTTGTTTTCTAGTTGTATTAAGTGTGCAATGGCCAGAACATTATTCCAATTTGCAAATGCATCATAGTACCAATTTAATGTTCTATAAATGGGAGGATTTGTATTGTACATTAAGGGAGCTGGGAAAAGCAGAATCAGATTGTCCAAATCCTCTTTTCAAAATTACCCAGGAAAATATCAGACAAAATTCTGATTTAGGAAGAAGTCAACAAAATGGGAAAATGAATCACCCTCAACATTTCCGTGCTTTCTTTCTTTTCTTTTTTCTTTCTTTCTTTCTTTTTCATTCATTCATTCACTCATTCATTCATGTTTGGCTGCCCATCTCAGCAACTGTGTGGTGAACAATCATAAAATGAATTAAAAACCTTTGCAAGGAAGGGTCACAACTTACCAATGTACAGGGAAGAATCCTTCCGCCTCACATGGTCATCAATGTAGGAGACCCCCAAAGGTTGCACTGGAGTTGCCCCAATTCCCAGAAGGACTTGCGCTCCAATGAGAAGCAAATACATCATGTTCGTGGCAGTCCTGCTCCTGCAGATCCGATCAGGATCTGGTCCCTCGTCGCTCGTGGATCCATTGGCTACGCAGACATCCCTCCCTTCGGCCCGCCACCGAATCTCTCCGGATTCATACTCATACTGATGAGTGAGGAATTCTGGCAGAGCTGAAAGAAGGGCTCCCAAAGCCATAATAATCCCTCCACATCCTATCAAACGTGGCCGGTGTCCCCGGGCACCAAAGTAGCTCACAAAAAGGATGAGAACCAAGTTGCCAATCTCAAAGCTGCTGGCGATCACGCCAACGTCGGCGCTCTGGAGGTTGAACCGCCGTTCTAAGGTGGTCAAGATGCTCACCTGCAAGGAAAGAGAGCAAGAAATGAGAGAGGGTTCACTTCGAAGCGTGGCAGCCTTGCAATGGAGAATCTTTCCCTGATAACATCTGGATGGATTTCATAGGGATGCCAATAGCTCCTTTTGGAAAGAGTTAATGTCAACGCTGCAACAAACTGAACTGAAGCCATTTTCACTCTGTCTTCATTGCCACATAGTTAGATTAGAAGAAGAAAAGGGAGTATAGTTTTCAGTTAACCAAAACAATTCAAGTGTATGGGAACCAAGGTCATTGCTGATAACATTTTGGGCGGGCTGGAGAGCTGGAAGGAGTGCTTGCATTTACTAACAATTGGTGAATGTCATTTATGACATCTAATTGGGGTGGGAATTACAACTTGCAACTTTGTAACTGAGGGGAGGGGAATTTAGTTTTGGGTTCACCTTTGTATGTGCCGTTATTTTGTAGCCAAATAAAAATGTTCTTTGAGGAAGAATTTCTTGCCTCAAAGTTCTTTTAATTGGTCTCATCTACCGGAACCATGACAGCTTACACACAAGGTCTAGTTTGGTGAAAAGGAGGACCAGGGGTGACATGACAGCAGTGGGTTGCCACAAAGAGGAAGCGTTTGATCTATTCCCCAAAGCACCAGAAAGCAGGACAAGAAGCAATGGATGGAAACTAATCAAGGAGAGAACCAACCTAGAAATAAGACAAAATTTACTGACAGCGAGAATAATTAATCATTAGAACAACTTGCCACTAGAAGTTGCGCTCCATCACTGGAGGTTTTTTAAGAGATTTGTCCAGAATGGTATAGAGTCTCCTGCTTGTATGGAGGATTGGCCTAGAAGACTTCTAAAGTCCTTTCAATTCTGCTATTCTGCTAAAGGCAAATTTCACCCAACACAATTCACCCAATTTTACCCCACTGGTTCATTTTCTAGCTTTCTACAATACACCAAATTATAACCAAATCAAACAGATTGGGTCATGCAAAATGCAAAGCAAAGAAAAGAAGGAAATTAAACTTAGCATGCTGTGCGAATACAGCCACTCACTTTGTAACTGAATTGGTAGAAGTGTGTTTTGAGAATACAGCACAAAGAGAGAGAGGGAGTAAAAGAGATTAACTTTTTGGTCTTCCTTAAAATTCTAAAGCAAACCTAACTTTCTTCTTTCTTTTTCATGTCAAAAATTCAAAATATACACTGAAGACTTTGCTGTCTCTGGAGAAAATCAGAAATAGCCAACACTGGAGGCAATTGCAAAGTTTACTAATATGCACCCTTCAAAGCAGAAGATGCCCTGAAGCCAACTTCTAGGAGACTCTGACAGCATTTGCCATCCCACAACAACTTCTCCCTAGGTATCTGAAGATGCAGAGAGGGATTGAAAGTTCATTGGGTGGAGAAAAAATGTGCATTTGGGGGGAAAATACCAAGATGGTTTACCTTTCTGGTGCAGGAGGACAATTCTCAGGACAGCAGTGAATAAATTAGGGCAGTGATGGCGAACTTTTTAGAGACCGAGTGCCCAAACTGCAACCCAAAACCCACTTATGCATCGTCGGGTGCCGGGTGGGTGTGGCCCATTGGGTGGGTGTGGCCCATTGGGTGGGCGTGGCTGCGGTGGTAATGGCAGACTGGGTGGAACTAAAAAGTTCAATCAATCAATTCCAACTTTGCAAGATCTTTTTTTCCCCGTGAGAAGTTGAAATTGACTGATTGATTGAACCTTTTTTTTATTTTGCACACGGCGGCGGAGGCTAAAGCGAAAAGGTTTTATAAAACCCAGCTGAAGGCCTAGGACTGGGGCAATGGTGCCCGTGCCCACAGAGAGGGCTCTGAGTGCCGCCTCTGGCACCCGTGCCATAGGTTTGCCACCACTAAACTAGGGAAAACACACAAGGTATTCTCTTCAACTGCTGTCTCTCTGCAGGTGCCTAAATTTTATCTGAACTCTTTGAGCTCAGTGAGGAACTCAAAATGAGGAACCACAGCACAATACATTTTTTAAATGAGGCATACTAAATACAAAACTATAGTGATACCAATAGAAGAGAATATACTGCATGTGGTTTGGGGTTGAACTGTGGGGTTTTTGATGCCCTCTGAGCTTGGTTGTCTGCTTGCAGATGTTTTATTACTGACTAGGTAACATCATCAGTGTTGGTGAGTATGGCGTTTGCTCCCTGTTTGTATGCAATAGCTTGCCCTGCCACTCTTGGTAGGAGTATGATTGTCTCCTTAGTAGTTCTTTCATTGAAGCGTGGTTTTCTTATTGTCTGCTTGATTAATAGTTCCTTGATTGGGTTGTGGTTTTCTGACTGTTTGTCTGATGTTAATTCCTGCTTATCTGGGTGCTGATTGCGGGAATGAATATATATTGTGAACTTTTTCTTTCCTTCTCAGCTTTTGATTGCCTCTTTTGAATGGTGTGTAAATGTGGTTTATCACTATGTGTCTGTTGATGGCTGATTTCTCTGAATGCTAAGTTTCCAGCAGTTTTCTACTGCCTAGAATGCTCGCACTTTCCCAGTTGAAACTATGGCTAAGTCTGTCTATGTGCTGTGAAATTAAGTAGTTTTCTGATTGCTAATTAGTGTTCATGGATGCGCTCTGCTAGTCTTCTGCCTGCCTGTCCTACATAGTGACCGTTACAGTCTTTACGCTCTATGTTGTAGATGACACTTGCTTTTTCTTCTTGGGCTACTGGGTCTTTTGGTTTACTTAAGAAATTTTTAAGGGCTTTAGTTGGTTTGTGTGTTACAGGGGTGCTGTGTGATTGTTTCTGAGATATTGCTGATGTGTAGCAGTCTTATCCTTTTTATAGCTTATGTTGATTGTGCTGTAGTGGACTGAGTGAACAAGTGTTTTTTATCAAGTTGTGTGGGCATCCATTTTGTTCGGAGATGGTGCATAGGCAGTTCGTTTCATTTTTCTTGTTTGCTGCAGTGCATTTGTGCTTGTCTGAATAATGTTCTTACACAACTCCTCTTGTGGGAGGTTGGCTTGTTACTTTAGTAATGGAGCACATGGTTAGTGTGGGTTGTTTTTCAATAGATTGCTGCATGAAACTTTGTTTTTGGATATGATAACTGAGGCAGATTATTGTACGGACAAAGATGGAAAGATTTGGCAATACTTACAATGGAGGAATGGTTAGTGAAGATGAGAGAATTTGCTGAAATGGCTAAATTGACTTGTTTGATTAGAGAAAAGAGACTATCTGCATTTATTGGTCATTGGAACCACCACCCCCTACAGCTTTTGCATAAAAAAGAAAAAAATGATTTATAATTTGGATGGTAAGATAGGACAGACTATAGAACAAAAAGAGTTGTGGTGTAACTTTAGACAGAGAGGTTAAAGTATAATTATATTTATAACTGCTGTAAAGAAGATCAGAAGCTACTTCTTTATATCTCCCCCCCCCTTTTTTTTCTACTTTTCCATTTTTTTTCCTGTTGAACTTTTAACTTTTTCTTTTATTTCTTTTTTTTTCTCTTTATTTTTTATTCCTCTTTCAGTTTGCATTATTCTTATTAGTGTTAAAAAGAACTGAAGAAGCTTCCTGGATGAGATGCGAAACTTATTCAAGAGGGAAAAAAAACCAAAGGATCTCCAGTTGCCTTTTGGAAAAAAAACACCTTTGGAATAACCAGGACCTGGATGGCTGAGAATGTCCATAGACCACCAGACTTTTGTAATCTCGAGTTGCCTATAACTTGGTTTCCCATTTGAAACCAAGGTGCTTGCTGGAATCCTTGCGTTGCAACTTAAACCTTTGTTCTAATAAATATTACTAATACGGCCTCTGAGAAATGTGATCTTTAGCTTCACGCAATTGCTAGGAGAGAAAGCTGTTCATGCCCAGCACGTGGCAGATGGAAAGCTAGCAAGATGTCTGCTGATTAGAAAACAGCCATGACAATGGAGACCAGGATACAAAGGAGGGGTTCTCGACAATGAGGGCAGACATCGGATAAAGCATTCTAAGTCTTTAAAGAGGGTAAACAAGCCATCTGAAAAAGAAGGCTTTGTGCAAACATCAAGGGCTGCTGTTACAGTGTGTTTTGTACACAGCAAAGGAACTGTGGTCAAAAGAAGGGGTTAAACCTGGCCTTGTAAACTCACAAATGGTTCACCGCTTTTCAGAACATTGTGAATTTGCTAGCAAGTTTTCCTGATGCTCTTCGTGGAGGGAGCTCTAATGCAGCAGGTTATCTGGCTTATGTTTTGTGAAACTGCTTTTTTTAAAAAAAAAAAATCATTTAAAAGTACAAAGCATGAAATATAAACATCTGACGTTTAACTCCAGTGCAATCCCCACCCCTCAGATCAAGATTAGGGGTGAAGCCAATAATGCTGTTCCAAAAAGCAATGGGACTTTCTTGGCTTCTTCCATGAAAATGTTTGAAAATGTTTTTTTTTTTTCCTCCTCGAAAACATTGAAAACATTTCCCTTCTCATCCAAGAAGCTTCTTCAGTTCAATTAACCAATGGAACCACCTGCCTCCAGAAGCGGTGAATGCTCCAACACTGCAAGTTTTTAAGAAGAGACTGGACAGGCATTTGTCTGAAATGGTGTGATAAATGTGACATAAGTGTGATGGAAGGGAACTGAATGGACTCAGGTACAGTGGCAACACCTTTGCGAGACCTGAAACACCAGATTAGAGACAGATTGTCATCTATCTATATGGGTTTCTAGAAGCCAAAAAAACAGCTTGATGGCACATCAAGCAATCAAATGAGGGCGAGCAGAAGAAAGATGTGGAGTCCGCAGTAGGTCCTGCTTGTTGAAAAGCAATGAAAAAAGAAGCAAGTGATCAAAGCCAGAAGCTTTTGATTTTATTTCTGGCCTCCATATAATGTGCAAGATAAATCTCCCAACACCTTAAAAGGTCCATTTGTAAAGCTAATAACTGCTATAATTCGTATCTGGCCTTCCTGGCCTTTGGGTGTCAAGTAAATTTCGTTGTATGTGTACATTGTGTATACACATACAATGACAATAA